TTTGTGATGAGGCTGCACAGGAACAGCAGCTGGGACAGACAGTGAGACCCCGAGACAGGGGTGACCCCGGGGAAGGAGCCCCGGCTCCTGCCCTGGGCACCTCCCGCTCGCTCCCAGCGCGGCAGCAATCGCGGCCGGGGCGGCAGCTCCGCTCTAGGGCCGTGCGGGCGCCTTGGGCGGCGCTTCCAGGTGCTTTTCCGTGAGGCAGCTCTGGGGCAGCCCTGGCATCGACACCAGGGCTGCGTCACTGTGCGATGACAGACGTGGCCTGGTGGGCTTACCTGCCAGGGGGTTTGATTCGGGGGTCTTATCCTAACTGAGGCTGCGACACCACCTTTCTAGTAGAGATAAGTGAGGTTTAGAGCATCTCTGCGACAGAAATATTTAACTGCCTTGTATGTATCTGGAACAGACTTAAGATTTCTCCAGCAATCGCAGAAATTGTGGTTTCTTTTCTTTTTAGCAAAGAATTGAAATACATAAGCTTCGCCAGGGTGACAACTTGATCCTTGGATTCAGCATCGGAGGCGGCATTGACCAGGACCCCACTCAGAATCCTTTCTCCGAGGATAAGACTGACAAGGTCAGAAGCTCTTTGCTCTTCGTAGCAACTATCTCTGCAAAATGCCGCGCGTGGTCACGGGCTTCTGTCTCCTGTCACCTCTCGTGGCTGCCAGGTTGTGCCAGCGCCACGTGCTCGGCTGCAGACGGACTGCGCTGAAGTTAGCTCCGTGCAACTTCTACTTTCCAGCCTCACAAAAACTTGCTGTTAACTTGAATCCTGTAACACAGTCCTAAGTATTTTTTCATTGCTAGTGGAGTAGCCCTTTGAGGATTTAACGCTTCCGTATGTAGTAAACGAGCACTTATTTCTTTTCGCCAGGGTATTTATGTGACGAGGGTGACCGAAGGAGGCCCAGCAGAAGTTGCAGGGCTCCAGATTGGAGACAAGATCATGCAGGTAAACACCAGCCTACGGCAGGTGCCAGCTGAGCACCCGGGCGTGCGCTGCGGAGACGCTGCTGCTGGGGAAAGTGCTGTCCTGGAGGTGCTTTCTGGGGCTGACGCAAGGGTCAGGCCAGGCATCAGTTACCTGCTCTTAGAGAACTACGTAGTGGAAAAAGCAACCAGCCTCTTGCGAGTCCCTGCATGTGCCTCCCGGTTCTTGTTTCCGCTGGCTGGATTTTGGGAAGAGCTGCTGGGCTGAGATGGCCTGAGGGAACCCCACAGAGATGGGCAACGTCGCCCCGCGCGCCGGGCCTGCCCTGCTCTGTCCAGACCTGCCCTGCCTGCGACCGCTGAAGCACCTTGTTCTTTCTCCAGGTGAACGGCTGGGACATGACGATGGTCACTCATGACCAAGCCAGGAAGAGGCTGACGAAAAGGAACGAGGAGGTGGTGCGGCTGCTGGTGACCAGGCAGTCCCTGCAGAAGGCAGTGCAGCAGTCCATGATGTCCTAATCGAGCACGAGGTTGGGGAAGGGATGGGGAGGGACAGACATAGACTGGATCTCAAGCAAGGAAGCAACTACTAGACCTGGGCAGGCTGTCTGGAAGGAGGGTATGTTCCTACCTGTGGTAAACACTGTTTTTTTTTTTTTTTTCCCTTTTTTCTGGTGTCACTGACAGTAGTAAAACTCTAGTCCCCTTAGCAGGGAGCTTCTCTAAAGTCTTCCCTGCAGGTACATGGGAAGACCCTACATAGGCCACGGTTCCAGGAGGACAGAACAAATACTAATTATTTAAGGAAGCAACTACTAATTATTTAAGGAGCCTTAACTTTGACACAGAAGCTTCTTATTTCAAAAGGAAGTGTGGCTCCTACCAAGGAGGGCAAGAGGATTGCTGAGGTCAGGCTTGCAGACACGAGTTGTCCTGTCCTCCTGTGCTAGGAAATTTAAGTGTCCCTCGAGCTGCATGCTGCTGTGGGGGGCAGCACTGTACTAATCTCACGCTGTGCGAGCTAGACAGCGCGCCGACAGGTTTGGGCATTATGGTTTACGGCAAAGATGCCCTGTATAGAGCAACTCATTCAGGCAAGAGACAACCAAGTGATACAGAAGAGTTCAGTTTGCACCTATGAGGTGCACTGAAATCTCCCAGACACTACAATTCATCTTTGCTATCAGTGACACCTGTACTCTCCTTGCTCCTTAGTAATTCGTAACACCAAAGGAATCAAGATTAAAAGGCAGGAGTCGAGAGCAATGGGGGCAGATAAAGAAAATACTGCTGCTGCACTTAGGAAAAGGGCTGCTCCTCTCTGGAGTCTCCCGTTCTTTATACCATTTCTATCAGGCACCAGGCGGTGGGGATGGATTTTGGTTCGTGTCTTGTAGAAGACTTTCCTTAAATTCCTGATTTATTGGATGGAAGAGATGAATATGCCAGTAATTTGCGTAAGTGCCTCCTGACCAAATTTAAGCTTCTAGTAAGCTGCTAAGTTGTTGAAATCAAGTACATGCTACAGGATTTAAGATTCTTGCTGCAAAATTAAGTGAATTATCTAGCATCCTCTGTGGCTGGTTAACCAGCAGGCTTTACAGTTATCTGGAAACTGGAGTTCTTAATCCATCTCAGTTGTTATACATATCTATACTTTCCTTATGCAGTTTTCAGGTAGGCTGTTGTAAATAGAGCAGGAGGAGATGGCAGACTAACTTATTCAGTACATTACTGCTGTGCCACATAGGTGTATTGTGATTAATGCATCTCAGACTGTTCTGTACACACCAACAGATGCCTATTTACCAATTTTGTATCTATTGAACTATTACAATATTGCTTTTGAATTTTGTATCAATTGATAAATCAGTGGTAATTTTTAAGGCTTTCAAGCTGGAGATATTTTTGTTACTATAAAAGATACACTGCTATTTGTACTGCTTTGTCACTTGATTTTACACACAATAAAACAAAGCTGGATTTCCTGAGCTGTGTCCCTTTGCAGAGTTGAAGGCCTCCAGCTGGGACTTTTTTGTTTTCCTGAGTGGATGTAGGACAATGTCAACGGTAATACTGTACAGTACTTACCTTCCAGAAACTCAAGGCCTGGATCTGTACCAGGAAGAGAGCCCCTGTGTTTCGAATCTTGTGCAGGATCAAAAGCATTAATGTAGGAAATTTGTGCTACTGATTTACATGATCCACTTTGAAATAATTGCTTTGACAATCTTTATTCCTTACCATCCACAGTATAGGACGCCAGACATGTCAATAGAACCAAGCAAAATTGTTTTAAATTAGTGCACTAGATGTACTCGGATACAAGAACTTCTGGTGTGACAGCAACACTGTTGCTGTTTCTTCTCAGGAATATTCCTTTCTTGGAGTTCAGATGTCAATTTTTTTTTTTCAATATTTTAATTGCAGTATCCCTTTCATGTGCCATTATTGTTGTTACCCCTCAGGGGGACCCTTTCATGTGCCATTATTGTTGTTACCACTCAGGGGGACACTGTGCTACTGTGACCTGCTCTGTGAGGAGGCAGCAGCAGAGATCTGTGGATCTACTTCTTTTGTTGCTACATTAACATTTTAAGTGGTTATTTAAACATGATCTCAGATTTTTGGAAGCCAGAATTCTGGCTCTTTGGAAGTGAAGCACAATCAGAAAAACACAAATCTGATCTTTCCCTTTCCTGTTGCTAATGGAAGAGGAGCCCCGTATTGCTTCAACAGCTCAAGCCAAGCTGGATTTGCAGCTTCAACAGGTATAAGAGTTCTTATCCACAAGATAGTGGCTTTGTATCCTTTAAGGCATTTGGCAATCAGCATATGTACACTGTACCAGAAAGGATCAAAGTAAGTAGAGCTCAGATTCGGTATTTCTGGTAGCTGGTTAAGAGACATCTTGGAATTCCCAGCCAAGATGGGGGTCAGTGCAATAGAAAGTTTTTATTTTGGCAGATGTTAGTCACAAGGTTCATACCCTCGTCTTCTATAAAGGCAGTAGTGTTGGATCAGAAAAACAACATCAAAGATGATGGAGAAGACACCCAGGCCAAACTTAGTTGGGTCTCCAAAGATTAGCTTCCACTGGTCTGCCAAACACAGGATTGGAGAATTAGGACAAATCAACCAGACTAACAAGTTACTGTCTTGAATGGCCATGCCATACGTAGTAGAACTGTGGATGTTTAACTGGACTGTTTTGATACACCTCAGGACTGATTGCAGTGTGTCACTCAGATAAAGCTAACTAGTAACTGCTTTGCAGTTTCTTTAGGATAAGCTGTCATTTTTAACTTGATGAAACTTTGCAGCAGGATTTCACCTCAAAAATACCACTTAGGCCCCCAGCCATCTCCTTTTCAGCCTTACCGTTGTTGTACGACTGTAGAAACATCTGTAGGAGGCTGAAGCTTCCACCAGTGAAGTCCAGTAATACATTTCCAATGCTCCATCCCTCCGTGCTCTTCAATGTTTCAACCTTCCCCGCTTTATCTGGCAGTTGTGTCTTTCACTGGTTGCTTGTTTGTGCCTCATGGCACCTCTCAGCACCTAGTGGTCCTGTGAAGCCTTAATTCTGGCTACCTAGTGTGGCATTCCAGTAACTAGGGCAAGTTTTGTACTACTCAGCAAGTGAGATTCAGCTATTCCTTCCTGGTGGAAGGAAAACTCACAGTGGAGACTCCTTCTCTTCATTTTAGAAGTTGATCTACCACCTAGTGCCCTGAGCAATCCCAATAAAAAGTGAGTATTTCTGGGATTAACGTCATAACTCTTGTGAATAACTATGTGGGATCTTCATATTATTTTGAATATCAATAACTAGTCTTTGTTACTGGTCTAGTCTAGTCAGGCTTCAAGAACATGAACTTCATTTAGCGTGACAGTGATACAGCGTAAAAACAGAAAAGTAGCTCAGATTTACCTGTGGAAAATATTTTGTCAGTGTGACTGCTAACTTAATGTAAGAGAAGCAAAATAAGAACTGTAGCCATGTCATTTCCTCAGCTGCAGCAAGGAACAATGTTGTGATGGTAAAAATCCATGCGAGTGCCAGTAGTCCAACAACAACTTTGGATACTTTCTGACCTGCTCTCTGAAACAGAAATGCAGATACATTTAAAGCTGTCCACACACCAGTATAGGATATATAATATTCTCAGCACTTCTCTGCCAGAATACAGAAACATCCACTGTTGTGCTAATTAGACTCAGATTACAAGGGAATTGTAAGACTGAATGGAGTGCTACACCACAAGCAGTGCAGTCAAACACACCCTTAAAGCTTTAGGTTTAGCACCGAAAGAAGTGCTCCAAGACAGAAATAGTTATCTGTTAGCAACAGTCATCATCTAGAGTGAATTGGCTGTTCAGATCAGAAGCTTTTAGCATGGGAACTAAGTAAATAACCACCTGAGTTTAATGAACCACCTGACTTTAATGACAGAATGGGATGGGAAGCATAAAAGAATCACCGCAGCTGTTTTGGGAGGGAATAGGTTGAAGAAGAAAGCTTGTGGGCTGCAGCACTCTTGAGGACCAGAACCAGGGAAGGCTCAGCATGGTAGGGAAGCAGCAGCAACAACGCATACTGGTATCTGTACTGTGTAGAGCTGTAATCTGTACTGCTGAGAGATCTGTTTGGGAATGTTATGAACCTGGCTGTTTGCCTTAGTTATTTTGAATCCTGAAAGAGGCCACTGATAAGCTCAGAACACCCATGAGGCTGGAGCTGCTAGGCTTACTGCAGTGACCGCTAGCTCAGGGAAGATTAGGCAGCTGGACTGTGAAGGGTCCCTTCTAGAGAGGCTGAGGAAAGGGCAGTGAAGATGAGTTTTGAGAAGAGAAAGGGTGGACCGGAGCACAGGGTGGTATGAGGTGCCGACAGAGGGAGCTCTGCCAGAGTGACAGGCTGGTTCAGTAGTGAGACCTACCTCGTAGATGCAGCACTGAATTATGATGAGGAGAGTTAGAGCTACCGCGTGGAGGCTGAAGAACACATCGTTGATAGCCACAGGGTTTACTCCGTTGGGATAACTGAGTAAGAATTCCTCCTAAATGTAAGAGAAGCCAAAAGCAGTCAAATACCGCAGCTTCCTCTGCAAGTAATTCCCCCTCGCCTAAATATTAATCATGCTTACCTTAATTAAGGGAATCCAGAAGAGTCCAACATTAAATACGCTGTATGCTATGAAGCCAGTAAGGTTTAATGCAATGAAGTCAAAGCTCAATCCCACAACACTAGAGAGAAAAACAAGTTGTAGGAAAAATATGAATCAGAGCATTGCAGCCAGTTTCAGGAAGGATTTTTCATTAGGATGTGACAATATATTGACAATTTTTCATGTAAGCCAAAGCATAGATGTTCATAGATGTTAATCTTTCTATTTATGATAGTCACTTAGTTTAGGGAGAGATGCTCTAATGATAACACTACAGGGAGCTGTCTGATAAGTAGCTAACAAGATAGGTAATCTTTGAAGTGGACACCACAACTGGCTGGGTCAGATGATGTAAAACATGGCAACAAAGGCAAGGGAGATATCTCCTCTATTACAGATTAGTATTGGATGCCAAAGCTTAGGAGCAGGTATTTTTAGGATGCTCTTAGTTTCCTCTGACCTGCTTACCTAGTGCTCAAGTAACTTTGAAACACACCTTAAGTCTCTTTACCTTTTCCGTCGCCAGTTCTCAAAGAGTTGAGGATAGAAGGAGATAGACCAGGCAAGGAAATAGATCCAACCAATCACCTCATCCGCGTATTTCACTATGATGCTGCGAATCACTTGAAATTGAATCCTAGGTCTGAAGAATAATGTATACAAAATTAGTCAATTTGCCTGTTCACGCAGCATATCATCAGGATGTTTTTCACTTACAGAGAAAACTGATGCAAAGGAATTGGAGACAAGGCAGTAAATATCCCAGGTTGGGCTGAATTGAGGTTTCTCCCTTTTCCTTTAATATTTTTGTTATAATTGAGATTTCTGCCATGACTAGCTTCAACCTTCATCCCTTTTTTTTCTTGTCTGCCCTTCTCTTTCCATTTTACCATCATACAAATCTTCCAAAAGGTCATCTTGTGCCTGTTGTTTCCATTCTCCATAACAAACCTCTTAGCATGTGGTCTGTTAAGCAACGGCTGAGTTTCACTTTTCATGCTCTGCCAGCAAAGCCTCATGATCATGCCTGTGCCCTTGAATGTTTCATGAATGTGGTTACCTCTGCATTTCTTGCAAGTTTTAAAAGCAGAAGTAAAATAAGGAAGTAAGACAAGAATGTGAAGTTGTATACTGCCATGTGGGCAACAGGGAAAATACAGTCTAGTTATCTCCATGTTGCTGGACTATTTTTTTCTATTACAGAGAACAGTAGCATCCGTGGGCCCCTGTAACTTAAAAATTTAGAACTTTCTCTGGAGTAGTAATAGTCTAAAGCAACAGCAGTATCTCAGTGGACATCTACAGCTAAATGCTTTGTGGATCAGGAAAGGTGATGCGTAATTTTGAGACTCTTGGAAGGGGTTATTAAATCAGACTAAGGAGCCATGAGAATTCACAGTCATTTGGTAACAAAATCTAAGATACCTAGACTACCACTCTGCTTCCGCACACTGTGTTTATTGGAGTACTTTGAAGACTGCTGGAAGGTCGCTACATCTTCTTGACTATATACCACCCTGTCTCATTAACTATTTGACTATTAAAAAGACGGAATAGTCACCTTAAGGGTAGGGAGCAGTAAGATAGTAAGCAGAGATTTAAAAAAAAAATTCTCACTCAGTTACGTTGGAATTACTGGTATGAAGATACACTGTAACTTGCCCAACATCATCTGCTTTTACTTGAAAGTCTACCTCAGTGAGACCTGCAGGCAGTTTAATCTGCAAGGTAAAATGGAGGAAAGAGGAGAGTTTCACCATACCAACAGCAGGCTTTTGCATAAGATCAGAAGTCTGTTACATTACTTACTTCATTAGGTAGTTCAACAATGGTTCTGTGTTTTGATGAGTATGTAATATTAAGTGTTATTGACAGTGTCTCATTTAATGGAGCCCTGCAAAAGCAAAAAAGCCATGTTAGGCTGGGTCCTGAATACAGTGACTTTCCTTCCAGCCTATTGGGAAATATCTGCCAATTCCTCAGAGCCATGGCAAACTTAATGGACAGTCCATGCACAGCAATAACTGCCTACTCAAAGGAACACCAACATCAAAGTATTTTAGCAATGTCCTACTCCTTCTGAATACTCGGTTAGAACTAGACAGTTATAGGACCCCATTTTACTACCTCCTTCTCTTCATTTCACTTCCCTCTGCCACCTAAGTGGCAGAACAAAGCCAAACCAGCAAGGAAGTAATAAGCACTATGACAGGATTTGAGGGAGAAGATAGGCAGAGACGATGGAAGGATGCTCTGCACAGCTTCTGTAGCTGGCACTTGTCCAGAATGTTTAATTGTACTGCTGTACATAGTGTATCATAAGATCTAAATGCTTGTACTTGTTCATGAACCAGATTAGTGTTTCTTTGCAAAAAAAATAAGAGCTCTAAACTCCTGCAGTGATATTTAGCCATTTTCCTTCCTGACACAGGATACTGTTAGAACTGCTCTCAACACAAGGCTGTGTGAGAGGTTTCTGCACCACTTTGGTCCAAATTGGTTTTAAAGTGATATAATGGTCTAGAAGTGGCTGGTTGCACATAACTGAGATTCACTTTGCACACCTGTCCTCAAGTTTCTCCCCTGTACCAAAGAAGTGAAATTGCACTTGTGATTTTACCTCAGAGATACAGTGATGTTTGTTGAACTTCCATTTTCTAATGAAACCACTTCAGGGACAGACAATACAATGGCTCCATCTGGGAAAAACAAAACAACCTCCCATCAATTATTATGAATGACAAATGCTCCTTCTGAAGAATTACCGTTTCCTTTTGTATAGGAAGATTGCATCAAATGCTGTCTGCACTGTCAGTCTAATAAAAACAGTACACATACAGCAAAAAAGGGCTGCAAGTTGTTTCAAGGGAAACTAAGCAATTTAAGAGGAACTAAATAACTGTCACTTGAACAAGTCATAAGGAAGCAATTTAAATATTTGCAGTGCAACAAAAGTTCATGCCAACAGAAGTTACATGCTATTTTAAACTCAAGTTAATTGTTTCTTGCTGTGATCCTAGTAATTTGAGTCATAATGCTCAAAGTTCAGTTTAAAATTGCCCCTTGAGCCAAAATTTAAACCAAATATCCATATGTTCGAGTGAACATGCATTTACTATCCTAATGTTTCAGGATTCTCGAGCACTTTTCTCTGAAATGTTTTAATTTGTCATGTGACAGCAGTTATGGGTTTGTATGTTTAGAGGACAAAAGTGATAGCAGAAAGAAAGCAGTATTCACATGTCTGATCTTAATAATGGGCTGTCCTGGGCATTTATTTTCCAACACAGCTTCTTTAATTGGCACCCATTTTGCCTCCTGAACTACAAAGTTCAAAACAGCTAGAACTGAAATCATGGTCTGGAAATATTCGTGGGCTGGGTACAGTGAGCTGTTAGCCTTAGGGCAATGGTGAGTAGTCCCTCTGGTGTGTCAGGAGCCTCACGTAAAAGTTGGAGCACCTTCTTGTACCTTCTGAAAGTTGATATATTTAGAAAGAATTGAGAAACTTTGTTTAGGTAAGAGTGAACTGCGAGAGCCACTATTGCAAGAAGTTGTATAGGTATTATCTGCATCAGAAGCAGTGATGCACATCTTTGTCCTTGCCCTATAAAGCAGAATGGTCATCTCCAGCATGTGCTGCACAGCTCCAGCACGGCTCTTCCACCTCTTACCAGCCACGAGCTGGTGCTACCCCGAGCAAAGACTCACCGCCAGGCCCCGGCGGCATGAGCGAGAGGCACAGCAGCGGCAGGAGCAGGCATCTCACCCCCATCCCGGCAGAGCTGCGGGAGAAGGAGAGGTTGGAGAGAGGGCAAAGCTTTGCTGGGGCTCCATGGGTCGCAATATCCTCTCAGAGGCAGCATCTGCCAAAAGGCTCCTGGGGGCCCCCAGTCCCCTGGAGGGACCCTCGACTACCTCCCTTGCCTCCCACTTCGCCGGGCGCCGGCGTTTTGGCCCCCTCCTCTGCCCAGGTCCCCGGGGACGTCTCTTCTCCTCACAGTTCGCCTCACAGAGCTGCCGCGCCGCGACGCCCG